TAAAATCCTAGAGTAAATATAATCTTTTATGAGGTTTATTTATGACATTTCCAGGTCCTTTCTGCAAATTTTATGGCATATCTGTAAAATTATGAAGTTTTAGGGTTCTTCTACAAATTTAAAGGTTTACTCTAATTTTTTTTTTAAATTTTAGTTTTATGAAACCAGAGCTTTTCAATAAAACTTATGGAATACCTGAATGACATTATTCAATTTGTGAACCTAAAAAGCATAATTCTATTTGTTTTATAACTTAACGTAATGTTTGACGTTTATAATTTAGCACACTCTGGGGTTTTTTATTCACAAATTCGTAATATAGTTATACCATTAGGCATGATAAATAACATATTGACTATAAAATAATAATTTAAATATTTTGTATTAATATGAAAAAATTTAAGTTCTATAACAACTAAGAACATACTCTATCAGAGCCAAAAAATTAACCAAAATCTATATAGTCCCCCCGTGGCAATTTCAATCACGCAAGTTCTCTTATAAATTAATTTTAAATATTTTGTCAATGTTATTGGGTAATTTTTATCATTAGAATTCTTTGGCGGATGGCTTATTATAATTTATGTCATTAATTGGTCTCAATCTCTATAATAAATAGTTTAATATAATTAATTTTAATTTTTTTTACTATACTTTATCAATACTGAGGACAATAAAAATAGTTTTAGGGGAGGACTTGATATTTAGTTTTCTTGATTGAGGCTACTTAGAATATCAAAGATTTAAAGGACCGAGGGATTAATTATATATATAACATTAATCTCCTACCTCTCTCTTTCTTAATATCTCAGTATGATCACTACAATAATCATAGAGATTAAGTGTTTCACTATTTATCTTTAATACAGCCACCCCTATAAATCAGAACTAATTTGTTAAAATTTCTATGAATGTCATCTATTAAGTATACTTTCAACTTCCATTATTAAACACTATAAAGTAAAGATTTAGATAATAATCTAAATATAGGAGTGAGGCCCCTTAGTGACATGTGTATATTAATTAGAGCTCAACAAAATCTTAAGACTAAATTCTAGAAATACACATTCAGCTACTTCACTTCCAACTGATCAAGTAAGATGAATATTGAAGAGAAACAAAGAGTAGTTCCTATATTCATAAAATGAGTTCAGGTTTTAGGTTTTGCCTCTTACTAGTATATGCAAAATCTTAATTAGCCACTACATAAAAATGCACATAACAGTCCATATTTTTCAGTTAGTATCGAAGAAAAAGATTAAAAATGTTAATATCAAATAATATTCAGTATGCCCTATTGTGCGCAAATTTAAGTTTGAACTGCAGCGTATACTGTGGTCATACCATCATGATGTTCCTAATAAATCATGTACTGAGTTGCTAAATTCATCATTCACAAAACTTTTGTTGATTGAAATTTGTAGTCAACTTAAAAATATTGTTAGAGCAAAATAATGACACACATTACTGTAGGACCCATAACGTTTTTTTGAGGGATGTTTTCTTAACAATTGAAAAAGCTCCGATTAAAGTCTTTTCAGA